ACCCAACAGATAAAGCATCCTCTTTTGCTTAGGCAAACCTGGGAATACAATTTCTACTGGTTACATTGATACAGGTTACATTGAATACCGAGCATTCAGAGGCTTTCAAAAACCTGTTTCACAGATCTTCTGACTAGGACATGCAGGTATGTGTGGTTCCACCAACAATGCCAAACCTATGAAGAAAAAATATAGACTTTGAAGAAGTCACAAGTTTTATTTCCCCCTCTGGACAAGAATGCTTCTCAAACCTACAAATTTCAACATACTTTAAAAAATTATCTGGCTTAACAAATCGACCACCAAACGAAGCTAATTCATAATCTTAGTCTAGAAAAGACATTGCATTTGTCCCTGGACAAGTTGTGCCTGGGTTTGTTCTGGACCAGAAATACTTCAGGATGGGCATGTACACACTTCACCGGGGTGGGCAAAATGCGGCCTGGGGGCCAGATGCAGCCTGCCGGGGCATTCTATCCAGTCCACAGGGCCCCTAAAAATTTAGAAAATTAATATTTAATTTCCCTGGGCTGCCTGTCATGCGGCCCTCAATGACTTGCCAAAACTCAGTAAGTGGCCCTCTGCCCAAAATAATTGTCCGCCCCTGTGCTTCACCCTTCTAATCAGGGTTTAGTGAGTGGCTGAATGCATTGCCACTTTTCTCTAGCTCTACAGTTCTCAGGCAATTACTAGAATACATTCTTGAATAGGAAAGGGTTATGGAAATACAACCTTTGCTGGTTGAATAAATCCTTATTTCTCTCAAGTGTCCATGTTTGTACACCAACCTGATGACTTTTTAAAATAAAAGTTATAGTTGTCTAAACAAAATATTAATGTTTACAAAACCAATCTTCAAAGTTGCCATATGGATTCCTTTTGAAACATTTTCAACTGGTAGCATCTGTCTAAGTTATGTGCCTGGCTAAAGCTCAAAACTAGGAAACTTTGTCAAAATTACTGCTCTGCAAAACATTGTCCCCCTCCCCCCTCTAGCACATAAAAGGATTTTCAACCCTCCCACCCAATGCAGGCATCAAAGCAACCCCATTCAGCACTGTTATTTTCTATAAGATAGGTTTTTATGCTAATTGCTAGTTTTACAATTGCAAATAGCAGTAAATGGGTTCATTATGCTTAAGTATTGTTTCTTCCACTGTGTAAAAATGGGTGGCTAAAAGCATTACCCAGTGAGTATTCACTCAAAATAAAATCACTTTAGCTTCATTTTGCACTGTTTTGTGCTTGAGTCCCATGACATTACAGCAAACAAGCTTACTAGCTTGATTACAGGGACAGCAAATTTCTTCAGCTAGCCAGTTTTTGGGATACAGAATTTCCTAGCCTAAATCTAGGGCACCAGCTCTACCTTGTACAAATTTGCCTCTAGGTTTAGAAGAAATAGTCTGACTTGTTTCATAATCTTTTACAACTCCTGCAAAGTTAGATTTTCTGTGACTTGCATGTATTCCCTAACATACATGAGAAGGAGAATCATATTTTAGTTTTTAGGAGGATAAATGTTATTACAAATGTTTGTGGGGAACCTGTCAGTACTCCTTACTCAGGTAAAGCTCCACATGATTTAAAGGAGAGATTTTCCTAGGTATAAGGCATAAAGAGGGCCCTGTGATCAGTGATGAATCGCATCAAATCAATTCTCACCTAGTTAGGGAATATGCATGTTTGAGCGCTACTATTATAGATTTAAAAAAAATCAAAGTCCAAAAGAAATCAAAATGTCTGCAAATGTAATAGTAAAAGCTTATTGCCTTATCTTGCTTTTGTAATCTGATGACAATGAAAAGCAGTTCATAGGAATAGGTCAATCCAGAAAACTTCATGTCCACTCAAATGTTTTAATAATAATTTTTAAAGCTCATATACTCTTATTTTATTAGAGAACATGTAAGCTTGGATTAACAGAAAAGACTATTTTCATCTGGGTGCAACAATGATTATGTATTTTTGTTACATATGGCATGCTTTTCTTCACTTGGAGCAGAAGGTGTTGAGGTTTGTATTGGTCCATCACAACACCTCTGTGAGATCTTGTGATATAATTTTCCCTCAATTTTTAATCTGGGGACCTGTGGCAGAGAGAAATGAAGATCCAAATCATCCACTAATTTTTGGGTGCTCAATTTGAAACATCTAGTGTTAGGTTGCCATGTACTTAGCATTTACATAAAGCACTTTATATGTTCATACCACAACTCTGATAAACTTCAGTTGAGTGCTCAGTACTTGTGTAAATATGACCTAAGATTTCCCACTGGGTATCCAGAAAATGTTAAACCAAAAAAGCTATGTTTGGCCACTAAGGACACATACAGACATTCAGGGAGGTTAGGGAGAGATCAGATTACAGTAAAAACGGCCACCCGATCTAACTTAGTTCACCCAGGTGTGGACGATACAGTTAGGGCACTGACACAAGTAACATTTTGTTGCATGATCAGCCAATGACAGTGCTCTACAGCTGTGCCCTTACAGAAAAATACAGCTGCAGTGCACTTTAAAAGAGCCTGATCCTGCGACAATCTGAACCCGCATTACATGAGGGTTCAGATGAAGACGCTTCAAAGTGGAGCCTGCTGACCCCTTCTTCAGACCCCACCTGCCAATCTCCAGGCTCCCCCTGTAGACCCCACTTGCCCTCCCTCTGCAATCCCCCCTGAAGATCCCTCTTCTCCTCCCAATCCCCTATCCTCCCCACAGACCCCACTTGCTCCACCAATCATCCCAGGCTCCCCACAGCCCCCCATTCCCAATTTATTTTAGATCAGATGGCAATTTTTAATTCAATCTGACCTCCCCCTAACTTTCCTAAATGTCTCTGTGTACCCTAAGGGGCAGTATTACATGGGCAATTTGTGGTACAGGCAGAGATATAATAGTTTTCTTAGGGCAGAAAAAAACATCCTTTCTTTTCCTGCACTCTCCTTTCTTATTCACTATTCACCTCCCAACTTCTGCAGTAAAGGCGGAAGGGCCCTGGATAACAGGTTCTGGAGGGTGTATGAGTCTGCTCTTATGCCCACAGTTCTTCCTCTGCTCCTAGCTGTTAATGTGCTTTTTCAACAAACACAAAATATGCTTGTTTTAAATTGGTTTTGGTCAATATATTAATCTAAAAGCTGAAAATATTTTATGTAAAACTCATTAACCTCCACCCCCCCCGCCAAAAAAAACCCCCAAAACCCCCAAAAAACCTCTTAACCAAAATTTTTGGATTTCCAGGTTGGTTTTTTTTCTGAGAACTGAAAATTTTAAATTTATTCAAAAAGTCATTAATTCAAGAACTATTAATCATACTTGGGAGGGGGAGCATTTTGACACTTTCTGCTCTGTTATGCTGTGTTAGGTTTTACAATCAGGATTTGATCATTTACTTTTATTGTGCAAGCATGATTCATAGCTGTATGTGTGTGATGGCATATGACAACCTTAGCACTCAAGAAACAGTTTTGACTGGTTGGATCAGCTAAGATGTGCACATCTGCTTTTTTTTTTTTTCTTCTTTTCCGTTATAGACAACTAAGGATAGTGACAGGGGAATGGTTTTTTGAAGAGAGGGCCAAGCGCTACAAGCAGTCCAACATCCTTGGAACTGATGTTGTCAGACAGTCCATCCTACGCAAGGTCCCAGGTAATAATAAGAACATAAAATTAAATTGTCCACTGAAATATTATGCTTGTTGTAAAAATATTTTAATAATTCTGGGTTTTATCTTTCCTGCTATGGAATGCATTATCATCTTTCTGGATTTTAATAGTAATTTTATACTAGCCCTTTCCCCCACTCCTCTTTGTGTGTGTGTTTATGTGCTTAGTGAATTGCTAGTATCGTAAATAAGAAAATCAAGATGTAGGCACAAAATGAAATTTTTTATATATATATATATGCCTTCCCTGAAGAGATTACAGTTTTACAATCTGAACAGAAGCTTTTAGTCCAAGCAAATGTATTTAATAGCAAACTAAATTCCTAATTCGTGATATAGGGTCTTGGGTGTACGGAAAGCTCTAGGAGCCCACCATTCACCTTTTGTAACTATTTTATTTTACCTTATTTCTTCATGTTAGTCATGGAACTCAAGTTGTAATTCTCGGTAGTAGAGTTCTTTACT